CACCACTACTATTATTTTCCTGGATTCCCTTTTGCTCCGGGGATTCGCCTCCCAGCACTCACGTAGGAAGCAGCAGCAGCCCCGATCTGCCCCTTTCAAGTGCGAGGGCTAATCTGGCTCCTTTGTTCCGAGGGAAGCCGATCTAAACAGATCCCACGTTATGAATGGCGGTGCGGTGGGAGACAGGGGTGGCCCCCCGGGGTGGCCACAGCCCGAGTCTCCGAGGCTTGGCAGGAGCCCACCAGCCTCGTACGTGCCGTTCCCTCTGTCGCTGCCGTCCCCGGGGAGCGGAGCTGCCGCCTCGGAGGCCGAGCTCTTCCTGCAGCCTCTGTGATCTCCCCTGAGCGAGGGCTCTGCGCAGCCTCAGCCTCGCCGAGGGCTTCCTGAGCAACCTCTGCCTTGACACCTCCAGTGCTCTTGGCCCAGCCACAAAGGGCTGGAGAGGAGCCCCCACTAACACACATCTCCCCACGCACACCCAACGAGGGGCCGGGCTACAAACACAAAGGGAAGCTCCTCTGAATCAGTGACAGCCGAGATGTTCTTGCTGGCCCTGCACCCAGATTTGCCATCTCAGGCACTTCTGAGACAACAGCAACCTCAACAGCTTTTGGTCCTCTCTAAGCCCACAAAGAACAAGCACTGAAGTGGGAGTGTCTCCGCTGCAAAGGAACACGGACATATCCTGGATATCAAAACTAAGGGGAACAAAAGGGTGGATGCCAGGCAAAAGGTTCATCTTCTTGCTGCTACAGGGACATCCCTCCTATTGGTTTTGGAAGCCCTGAGAGTGCTGCAGCAGTGAGCAGAGCTGGCTCCTGGGTGGTGGAGGGCATTAGCCCAGCACTCGGTGGCATCTGCCAACCATCCCTTCCCAGGAAGGGGCAGCTCCATCCTAAAACTGCCCTGGAGAGGGGACACTGGGAAATCAGGAGGAGAGACAGAGGCAGTTCCCAGGGCTTCCTGAGCACGCCCTGGTGTGGAACATGGACTGTGGCACAGCCCCATGACGTGGTGTGTGCCCTCCTATGCCCACGGGGACTCGGAGGGCCTCTCTCTCCCCAGACCTTTCCAGCACACCCTGAAAAAACCTCCACGCTCGTGTCTCCCCAGGAGACACTTGCACTTCTAACCTCCTTTCACTGCTTGTCCCCTCTGCAAGGACTGTGGGCTGAGGGAAGGACTAGTGACAGAGGTGACAGTGGGGATTTGCAGGGTGGGCCTCAGCCACAACGTGCCGGGGGAGCTGCCAGCCTGGCACAGCTGGCACAGCCTCGTGAGCCACATCCCCCTTCCCACTCAAGCCCTCACTGGTACTTTTGAGTTGTTTCGCAGGGCAAGACACAGCCTGTCCCAAACCTGACTCCAGGAAAGGATTCCCAAGGCACAGCACAACCTCTCAACCACGGAGCAGGTACAATAAAACCTCTTCAAAGTGGTGCTGCGGGTGATGGGCTGAGCTGCACACGGGCTGCCCAGGGGAGGTGAAGGGAACCAACTTTTTTTTTGGTGACTTGGTTATTCACAGGCAGCGACACAAATACTCACCTCTCTCTGCTTGTTGCCCACGTGGCTGTGCTGAGCACTGGAACATCAAAGGCTCCAGGCGAGCTCTGAGTTAAAAGGTGAACGGCCAAAGGTGAGGTTTGTAGCTCTGTGGCTGTGGGAGTTTTGCTGGAGGAGGAGGAGGCTGTGAAAGGAAAGCAGAGAGTGAAATTCCAGGGAAAGCTGTTTCCATACTGGAGATTCCAGTCGTTCTGCAAAACCCTTGGAAAACAAAACAGAAAAACTACAGGAAGATCGTAAACTGCAGATGAACAAACTTGGATTTTCCATATCCCCGGGGTCATTGCCAGGTAATAAGTGTATATTACCCTGGAATCTTAAACTGGTGTTTAAATTATCTGCAAGAACTCATCTTTTAACAATGCAGGTGTGTGAATTCTTTATAAATCGTTTCACTAGAAAACAAA